GGGGGGCGCGGATGCTGCGCGCAGCGCTGGAAAGGCGGCGCCCACCGCCCCCTTCCCCCCCCCAAGCCTGCACATGCCACGGTTGTGGCCCGGTGGCTCTCGCCCGGCTGCGCGGAGACCGGATGGAGCAGGGGGAAGGGAGGGTGCGGGGGCACCCCAGCCACGAGCTCTTTCGCAAGGGCACGGAGGGCAGCAAAGAGCGGCGATTCAGACCCGAGAGCCGGCCGGCCGGCCGAGCACGGGGCATGCATTGCCCGCTTTGCATCTGCAGCCCTTGCCCCGCTCCTCACTCCAGCCACCTCCACCGCCTCCTTCATGAACACGACCCCCTGGCAGCCGGGCTCGCGTTGGAGCTCCCCACGTGTGGAAGCTCCCCTGATGAGCTAACCCTGCTCCTCCCGGCTAACCCCAGAGCCAATTCACTTCCAAGCGCCCTGGGGGTGCTTCCTGCTCTGATTTCCCCCGACATCAAGGGGCCTATTCCCCCAGCACCGCCAAGCCGTTAGCTAGCCTAGAGAAGGGGAGCCTGTGCTCACCTCGCCATGGCAGCCCGAGGCCTGGCGGGGCACTGCCCCCGTCCTGGCCGGCGCAGGTAGATCCAATGGCAACCCCCTCCGGAGTCACTGGAGGGCCCCGCTGCACGGTTTCCACCTCCACAGTTCCCAGCTGCAGAGATGGGGCACCGCCACCCCAGGCCTGGGCACAAGCAGGGGCGGTCTTAGCTCTGCCAGCCTCCGACCTGTGGCTCTGATCTCCCCGAAAACTGGTCGTGGGGGCAAGAGGCGAGATCTGACGCCTGTGCCCCTCTGCCCCCCGGGCTGGGCTCTCACCCCTGTCCCTTTGCCCCGCGGCGCCAGCCAACATGTGCTCGTTCCCCTGCTCCGGGACCGGCAGCTCGGCCACCAAGAGCTCCTCAGCCGGCCGTTTCCAAAGCAGGGGCTGGGACAGAAATGCAGCCAAGGGCAAGGCAGGGGAGAGCCAGGCCAGGGCCCCCGGCTGGAAAAGGCCAGCTGGACGGAGCTGGCGGGCCTAGCGGCCCCCGGATCCCGGTGCTAGACGAAGTCGGCGGAGCAACCGCGGGGTCCGGGTCTCGCACGCGCACAGCCGCCGCCTCCCCCCGGCTTGGTTGCACCGATTTATACCCCGGGGCTGGAGGGGCCTTGGCTAAGAGGCACAGGCGACACGGAGAGCGCGGTCTTGAAAGCGGGAGCAGCCGGGAGTAGAAATGAATTCGATTCAAAATAATACGAATCCTTCTCCGGGATCCCTGGACCTGGCCCCTTGGGGCGAGCTCCCAAGTTTTGCAAAACTCCGGATCCGCAAGGAAACTAAGCGCGGGGCGGCCGACCTGTCCCAGCCCAGCCGGCCGCGGCGGGTCTGTTGGACGGGATGGAAATCGCGGCCCTGATGCCCGGTGTTTGGGCGCGGATGTGCTGGCCGGGCCGCAGCGCGGAATAGCAGTGGGCAGACGGCGGGGCTCCACGTGGGTGCTGGGCCCCGGGCCTCCCGCCCGCGAAGTCAACCCAACCGCCTCCTGGCCCCCTGGCAGGCAGGGCCGGGCCGGCGGAGGGCAGCCCGGGACGCTGAACAGAGGAGTTGGGCTGGCGATCCGGGACAGGAGAGGGTCACGCCCGGCGATCAGGCGGCGATCAATGCCCCCTGCCCTCCCAGCGCGTGGGAGAGTACACGGGCACACATACACACACACACACGCACGCACGCACGCACGCACGCAGCTGGGGAGTACCGAGCCCCCGCGCTGGGACTTTAATGCCCACCGGGGCTCTTCTTCCAGGGCCCCTGGCTCTTCCCCAGGCAGCACGGCCCGGGGCTGGGGAAATCCCAGGCACAGGCGTGTGCACCCCCGGGGGAGCCCGGAGCCAGCCCCTCCGGCCTGGCTTTCTCCTCTGCCACCTGTTGATCGCACATCCTGGGCCGCCTCCTCCGCGATCTGGCAGCTCTCAGAGCACGGGACTGCCTTGTGGGGTGCCCCCCGCCCCGGGGAGCAGCACTTCCCAACCCCCAGGGCAGGACCTGGGGGCATGCCCCCCTCTCCCTGCCCGGCCTCGGTCCAGAGCTGCGCTTTTACCTGCCAGTCGCCCATTTTGGCGAGGATTGACATTGCGGCGGCGGGCTCCTGCTGGCAAGGTCCCGGCTGGTCATGGACCGCGAGGGGATCCGCCTGCTGCTCCCTGCGATCTCTTTAGGCAAAGCCCTGCTCTTACCTGCCTGCAGCCGCGCTCACCTGGTCCTAAAGAGCTGGGAGCTACCTGCTCCCGCGCCTGCGCGCTGCGCCGCCCCGAGCTCACTCCCAGCCGGCCCGGGGAGCTTTTAGAGCCGGGGCCCTCGCACCCGCCGCCCTGCGCCCAAGGGTGTCCCCGTCCCCCACAGGGGCTCTCCCGCTCTCCAGCCACCAGGGCGTGCCTTGGAGCCGTGCACTGCCCTGGGGTGGCAATGGGGTGAGGAAGAGGAGGCCGGGGGGTGTCTGGGCCTACATGAGCAGAGAGGGAGCTGCGCATCTCCCCGCCTGCCAGGAGCTGC